CGAGCTTAGTTCTTTCTCTAGCAGGTTCAGATTTTTAGCTGCTTGCAGGAAGAGGTCAGACAAAATTCTGTTTTCTCTGTCCCTCCTTAGTCTGGGACCTGACAGTCCGTTTTCGGAAGAGTTTCCATCTTTGTCTTTTGGGGATTTTTGTGGGCAGATTTCTGAAAGGACTTTCCATTGGGTGGAGCAGGATTCTGCACAGATGATAGTACATACAAATTGCAGGTCCCCACAGCTTTTGGCTGTTCATATTAGGATCCAAAAATTCACTAATTTCCCTTTTTAAGGAGAAGTTCTTAAGGCAACTCTTCCACTGAAGTGTCTTGACTTTGCCCCTATCTCATTCAGTCTTGCACCCTATACACAAATTGAGATTCAGGGTCTGGTGTTATTCCTAGAACAGACTTAAATACTAAAAGATCTGAATGACTATTTTGCCAGCTTATGCCATGTGACTCAAGAGGACTTGCAAAGGGGAGGGGAGTCATGGTGGGCAGTGATTCCTGGCCTGGCATGCACTTCACATCTCTGCTTCCCTTGTAGTCTGCCCAGAAGGGATTGCTGAGGTACTTGATCAACTGCCACAACCTGCATGGGAAGCAGCAGCCTTGGCATGTGAGCTCTGCCACCTGATGTCTAGTCTGTATTGAGACAGTGCCAGCTGGTGCAATCCTCAGAGATACAGCCTTCTGTCAGCAGGTTATCTGATTGGCTTGCTGCCTTGTCTTCTGCTGATCTTTCTCATTTCTTTTCCCCTTTTACTCAGTGAGTGTCTAGCAACACAGCTAGTCCTCTGCAGCCATTTAGAAATGTTTTGTGGGAGCTGCAAGTAGGTCCTGCACTTAGGTACGTACTGAGAGAGATGAACCTGTTCATTCCTTAGAAAGCAACTGAACAACGTGAGGAATCCCACATCTCCTCCACTTCCCCATTCCTGACAGCAAGATCTCCTGCCAGCACCAATTGCCTGCCTCTGGTATCACCCAGCCTCCCCCTCTGACTAACACTGAAGCTACAGTACAGAGCTCCCAGTGCATCTTAGGCTGAAGTTCTGCTGCAGGGTTCCCTTGCTTTCTTGCTAGCACAGTTTCATCTAAATGTTAACCAAATAAAAGGAAAGAGAGAGCATGTTAACTACATTGTTAGCTAAAACAAGCTGCTTGACTTGAGCAAGCATTTGCCATCTCCCAGCATGCCCTTATTGCCTGTGTACTCCTAGGAGTTTGCTGCACGTGCATTTTCCAGTGAGGACGTCTGTCCACTCCTATACTTCCTGAGACTCCTGTAACATCTAATGTTAAGTAAGCCATCAGTCACATTAATTTTGGTGGAGTTTGCCCAGAGAGCTGCTGGTTCTCTCAGTTTCTGGAAAAGATTCTGCTGATAAAAGTGCTGAAGGGAACACACCCTCTTACCAGCATGGAGAAAAAGTACCTCTCAGCAATGCTGTCTGCATAGTGAAGGGAATAATTTGATTTTCATAACAGGCCTTTATCCTGCTTTGCTTTTGCAGGGACTGGAGATCTCAGGGGCTGCTTCAGCATGATGCATACAGCAAAAGGAGATGGGCTGATGGGAGGTCAGCCTGGCCTGTGTGATATCCTTATGTGCAGAGGTTTGGGTGACACATACCAGTGTCTAATGAACACTGGTAGAACTCTTCAGGTGGCAACAGGGATGCTGCATGCTTGCAGTAAACGTCACAGCCCCAAAGGCTGATGAGCAGCCAGCACAGTGCTGCTGTTTGTTAAAATAAATTCCTGTTTTTCTACTTTTGCTGTTTGAAAAGTCAGCAACTTTTCTGCTCATGTTGCTTTGTGAGTCACTTTGAGCTTGAAAAGAGCTTTTTTAAACCTAAAGAAAAAGACCTTCCTGGTAGTTACATTGCTGAGACTTGAACCTTTGTGTCAGGACAGGTTCCAAGAAAACCAGTGTCTTCTGAGCAGGGCTCTAGATTTAAGGTTTGCTTTCCTCCCCATCCTTGCCACGCCCCATAGATATCCCATGCCTGGAGAGCAGAGGGAGGAGAAAGCTCAGACCTGTGCTGCTGGGAGGGAGGTGGGTGCCCCATGTGCTCTATCATGGAAGTGGGACTTGGGCTTCTCAAAGTCTTGGGTGCCCCCAGGGGCATGGGCCATTGGGACAGAGTCATATTCAGGTCAGAAAGCAATAAGCCCATGCCAGCTCCTCAGCAAATGCTATGCTGCTTTGTCAGAGGAATCTGCTCTTGCTTGGTTTCTGCCATAAGATAATCCTTGTTAAGTTTCTGCAGGCCCCTGGGCTAGCTGGATGTTGGCAGCACACTGGCACTCAGTAAATCCCTTTGGGCAGGATTTCCACATGTCTCTCGGTATGTGCAGTGCCTAGGGCAGCTTCTTCACTGTGTTGTGACAGACACTGTCATGTGTCTGTTGTGTACTTCTGTGCTGAACCAGAACCACCAAGATAATTCTTCATAGATGGGTGTGCTTGCAAATGAAGGCTGGTAAATGCCATGCATGTCAGCTTAGAGGTGACATTGACTGCACTCAGCATTCTTGAGGATGGCTGACATTTTATGAGCATTCTGTAGTACATATGTCAGTGACCATTCCTTGCACTACTAATAAAGAGCAAAATCTCTGTAATTTCTCCAAAAACTCCCACAAAGAGCCTGACAGCATTTTTCCTAAGAAGCTTCCAGTGCCTAAGATCTACATGAAAAAGGAAGTTACTTACAGCTCCAGAGGTCAGAGGTTTTGCTTGTTTTCATTTTGGTAAGTACGATGTAGTTTATTAGCTGAGCAGAGAGATAAATCTTGGTAGAGCAATCCAGTCTTGAAACAAGTAGGCAGATACACACTGCTTTCCAAAATCCATGAAGACTGTCACCTCTCAGATTCACTTTGATGACTAATTTGTGCAGAAGTCAACAAGACTGAGAACAGTAACATCATTATTTAAGATGGTATTTTTTGCAACAAAAAATACCCTAGGAAGGGTATGTCTTTTTTTAATGTTGTTTTGGTACATCTGGCTTCCTCTCCCATTTGAAACATTAGGCTGGAAAAAGAATGCTGTTCTGTTTGTATCAGTAGTCAAAGTAGAGAAATTTCTCTGCAGGCTAAATTCACATTTTTGTGAGTGCTATATAACATTAATGAGATATTCCTTTCTGATTTTCCACTTGATTAAAAATGTTGGTGTTTATCTCAGGATCAGTTTAGCATGCCTTGAATTCTATGTGTTTGTTCATTCTGTCTGCACAGACAAGTTTTGGGTCAAAAGTGAGTCCTGCTGGTCTCAGCTGTTAATCTGTTGAAAAATCATTCTGCTCTTTGCTTTTTTAGGAGGCTTGTCTTCTGAAAAGACACAGATAAATTACACTGATTCCTTCTGAGTCACCCAGCAGCAATGGCAAAGCTAGGAGAAAAAAATGGGGGAGTAAAGAGGACTGATGAATGGGCAGCAATCCGAAGATCAGATTTAAAGTACATATTTCAAGCACAAGTTCCTGAAAATGAATACTCAGTTATTTTCTTTGAGTATCCCACCACTGGGGGAACATGGTTTCACCAAGCCAGATTTTAGTAAATGAGTTCATGAAGTTAGACACCGCTGCCAGTCACACAGGCTGTGACTTGCCAGGCCTGAGCACTAAGATATTCCTGGATAAAACAATTATGAAATCGGGAATGGAGACAAAACATTATTTATTAAATTATCTCTCCTTCCAGACAAATCACAGCATTGGCTCTCCAGCCTTTCGCATCATCTAGGCAGAAAACATACACGGATACTTCCAAATCCCTTCTCTTCACCCCTCCCTGGAAACATTGATGGCTCCCGTATGAACAAACACAAAAAAACTGGTCATCTACTAAATCTGTTGCTGATCTCAGCTGACCAACTTCCTGTAATATCAGCAAATATTTCTGCTTTTGTAAATCTGTGCTTCCCTCCATAATGGGGTGCCAGCAGGATCAGGAATGCTTTGAATCTAGAAATGTGCTGGTTGGCAGGAAGAACAAAGAACGTGCTCACCCCGAAGGGCAAAAAAGGGCTGATGCTTTTGTCCACTCGGGAGAAATGGCACAGAACTCATGCCAACAGTTTTTGCATGCAATCAGAAAGAGGCTGTTGGATGTTCCTTTTAATAGCCCACATTAATATCAGTCATTCGTGAGAAATGTCTTAGATAACTAAAATCAAAGCAGATCCTGAAACGCTCCTGCGGTTTCACAATCCCTGGACGGACACTGCCCAGTAATGTCAGGCTCTCCATGGACTCATCAGGGCAGCTGCTGTTTTTCCCAGCCGTCTGGAAATAGGCCAGCTATGACATGTAGCTGATATCAGTTAGCTGTTGGCTGTATTTCATTCTGCTGCTCTAGGCAACTTGATAAAGGCTTCTTCCTCCCGCTGCAGAGCTCACCCACCCAAACTGAAGCTAAACACCTGTGCGTTCAGCTTGCTCAGCCTGATGCTCGGATTTGCTTAATGGGGCGTTTTGTACAAAGGAACGCTCAAACTGGTTTCTGGAACGGCAGTATTAACGCTAGAACTGCTTGATTTACATCTCCGTGTAGATCTGGAGGCAGCTCAGCCCCATCTTCATCACACGGAGACGCACAGATGTATTTAATGGGAAACCTCTCACATCCCCTCAGCGCAGGGAGGTGACGGGGGTGCAGGGCGTCCCTTTCCATTTGTCTGTAGGAAAGTGAAAAAGCCCGAGCACGGCCAGGTAGGAGTACCGTTACTGTGCGCAGTATCGGTGCCCGTTCCCGCAGCACGGTAGCAAGCTCGCTCCGTCCCTCCCGCACCGTCGCTGGAGAGGAGAAAACCCTGCAACAGAGACAGCCGCGTACCGAGCCCCAGAGCGCCCACCGGGAGCCCTGAAGCGGGGAGGCGCTCATCGCGAACGCCCCGACGACGCGCGGCAGCGCTGAGGCGATTGCGGGCGGCTCCCCGCCATGCCGCGCAGCACGGCGGCGCCGCCATGTTGAGGGCGGGGAAGGCGGGGGCGGCGCCGGGGCCGCCGCGGGGCGCAGCGCCTCCGTCCGCTCCTCGCTGCCGCTCAGCAGCCTGCACGGCGGGCCGCGCCGCTCCATGGCGACCCACAGCCCCTGCATCGTGGTGAGTGCGGGCCCGCGGCGGGGAAGCGGCGCTCCCTCCGCCGCCGCGTCTCCGGGCCCGGCCGCGCGGAGCGGGGTGCCGCGGGGCGGGTTGATCTCGCCGGGCCTCGGCCGCGCGCGCGGGGCGGGCGGCGCGGAGTCACCTTGAGGAGCTCGGCCTGCCGCCGCTGCCCGCGGGAACGGGCCGGGCCTCCGCGTGCCGGAGCCGCTCGCCGTGCCGCCCCGCGGCGGCGGCGTCTCCCGGAGGAGAGGCGGTCGGAAACGCCGGAGCCGCAGCTCCGAGCTCGCCCAGAAATGCCTTCCTTTCGCGCTGACCGGCGCGGCGCCGCTTCCTATTCCTGTCGCTTCTCCTCGCGCGCCGAGGTGCCGCTCCGTGCGGCCGAACCCCGCGCTGCTGGCGGTGCCCGGCCCTGCGGGAGGGAAGCTCGGCTCCGTTCTGTGACGGCCTCCGCCTGCGGGACCGAAAAGCGAAGCGGTTGCAAAACACGCCGTCGTTGTCCGCTTGCGGCTGGCTTAACGCTCGGGGAGAGCCGCGCTCCGTGCCGCCCTGATGATGTGCCCCCAGCGCAGCGCCGGCTGTGTAACCGTATGCGTGCGTTAATCCTTGTCCTAACGCGTACACGCGTGTATGGATTCGGCTGTGCCGTGCAGGGGATGCGCCCGCAGCTCTGAGGTACAGCTTTGGTTTCTGCTTCGGGATCTCAGAGCACTGTGATTCCCAGCCCTCGTTTTGCCTCCTTCCCACAGCCGTCCCTCACCGGCAGCCGGCTGTGAGCTGTGCTGTGATGTGGATCTGGAAGATGCCCGCGTTCCGAGGCCTCCCTGCTTAGTTGCCAGTGCAGGTTTTGCATTACACCGCTAAAATCAAAGGTGTCAAAAAGCTGCTCGTTTGTTTGTTTTTTTTTTTTCCCAATGAAATAAGATCAGGCAGGATGTAGTGCTTTCATTTTTCTGCAGTGTTTCAGACAACTCCTGCAAGCTGATGCTTTCTGCTGTGTTCACCGTGACTAATGCTTCTGTAGAGGAAAAAGATCAGCTGATCCCAATGAGTGTAACGCGTAAAGCAAAAGATTTGCGCTTTCTCACTGCAGGCTTTCTATAAGTCTTGGTAGAAATCTCACCTGATTTCCTTTTCAGATTGGCGATGATGAACAAGGTTACGACCTGGACTTGTTCTGCATACCAAAACATTATGCGGATGATCTGGAGAAAGTCTATATTCCTCATGGGCTCATCATGGACAGGTTTGTTTGCCTTCGGACGCTGCACTGATTCCATGGCACTGACACTGATAGCTTGCTGCCTGGTGACTGTCTAAATAGATTACATTTAATTAGAGACTAAGTACTACATGGTTAATTAACTGTTTCTTGTTTGGCTTCTAAGAGTTGGTGCTTTTGCAGTTACACTATTGTTTGGAAATTTGTCATAATCCTCAAAAGAAATGAGGTGGTATGTAGCAACCTGCGACGCCTTCATGGGGTTTCTTTGATGTTTTGCCTTCGTAAAACCTAATGAGAGCACATTACCTGTTGTGCTAGTTCAATCTGAAACAATTAGAGTCTCTTGAACTTCCCTAGGATGTTAACAAGCATAAGTTCTTAATCACACCATTGTAGACTTTGCTGTGTTGGTGTAGCAGATGAGCGATATCCAGCATCCCCTGCTTGCTGGGGGGGGGGTCCAACCTTGTCACCTGTGGTTGCTGAAATCTGCGGGTGCTCTGCATGTTTTATCTCATGTGGTCTGAGGAATGGATCCATAAGCACATAAGATGTTGTTTTGTTTCCCTTTGTGATGCTTGCCTAGTTTCTGTTAGAATGAGCAGCAAATTCAGAGAGGTTCTGAGTAGATCTCTGAGAGGTCTTAAGAATAGGAATGCTTCTAGATTGTGCATGGTGCTGATCAATTAGATTAAACGTTCCTATAAAATGTCGTTTTGTTTCTTTAAATTGTAAATGCTGTAATAACTTTGAAATGGAAGACCATATATAGGAAAAGATTGGACCAAGTACACATCATTGAATAATGGATGTAAAGTTTATAGTGGTGGGCATTCCCTGAGTAACCTGCTGCTGCTCTGTAAATGCATACCATGCTAAGATAAACTGCAGTACAAATTTAGAAACAATGATTGCAGAAAAACAGCGCAGTGTTCTCTTGCTCTGTCTTGTTGTTGTTGTGCTTTGCAGTCAGGACAGATCTGCAGCTTGGCAAAATGTGAAGCTGTCATTTACAGTTGGGGAGTTCTCTTGCTCCTTGGTCAGTGAGGGCTGCCGTCTGTATGTATTGATTTATTTTGCTCTTTGCATGGAAGTTGAACCGATGTTTGAAAGGGGAGAACACCTTTATGTGGCTTATCTGCCAGTGAAACAGTTTCAGAGTGTTAAGATTTGCTTTGGCTGAGCGTGAAGTATGAAAACAGAGGAGTTTGGCAGTGTTACTGTTTGATTAACCTTGAAAAGCAAAACTGGGTTGGCCAGTAGTGTGTAAAAGTGGCTGAAGTGGTAGGCAAACATTTCTAAGCAAAATCCATTTCTGAGTTTGCATGTGTTTGCTGCTGTTGTTTGCAAGACAAAATACTGCAATGGTAAGCAAATAGAATGTGTTATGACAGCTAACCCTTGTGCTTTTTTGTATAGGACAGAGAGACTGGCACGTGAAATCATGAAGGGCATGGGAGGACACCACATTGTAGCTCTCTGTGTACTAAAGGGCGGCTATAAATTTTTTGCTGATTTGTTAGACTACATCAAAGCACTGAACAGAAACAGTGACAAATCAATCCCCATGACTGTGGACTTCATTAGGTTGAAGAGTTACTGTGTAAGTATATCTGCAATACTCTGCCATTTTTATTTGAACTAACTTCTAGTTAACAACACAGATGGTTTAGATACCGTCACTAGAGATTGTGAAAACTTTGCTTAGATGTGCTCATGTCATACAAAAAAATGAGAGAATTAAGAGGGGAGAAAAGGTAGTCTCAAGTTAACTTGTTCTTTGCCTATCTTATATAATCAATTTGCTTTTAGTCTTTACATCCTTAGGTCAGTAATGTCCTCATTTAGAGCAAAGAGACCTTTACTATGTCCTTCATACGTTCAAGAATTTCCTCTCTTCTCTTCCTCATCTCTAATGCTGTGAATAATACAGAGGATTGTCCTGCAAATATTGTGACCAAAAAAAAAAAAATTCCAGAAATGTTGATATGGCTCAGACATCATTCACTGGATTGAAAGATTGGAAAACTGCAAACATGGCTGTATCTGAGTTCCCTCTATCATCTTTTGTTTTGCTCAACTGAACAGTGAACAAATTAATTATGCTTCGCCTTAAGGAAATACTAGATTCCTACACATAGATTATGGTTAGTGGCCACAGAATATGGTGTTACCTTTTAGTAACTGTGCAGGTTGCCTTGGCTTCATGATCTTTAAGGCCTTTTCCAACCTGAGCAATTCTATGATTCTATTTAACTTCATGGGAAAATGAAGCATGAGGTAATGGGTGATTTTTGGTAGAGGAAGTGTGAGATTTTGTTGTGCAGGTCAGAGGAAGAGGTGGATGTATGCACTCTCTGCTGACTTAGCAGCTGAGTCTTGTGTTTTCTTGATAGTGTTTGAGGGTATTTTTGAGGTCGTCCATCAGACCACCTGTTGTGTGGAAATAGTTAATGCTTTTTAAAATTCATTTTGTGGTGTCAAAAAAAGCTGTTTCTGAAGTTATGCTGTTAGTTCTGTGTCTCAGCACCCTTGTATTCAAGTCAGCAGTGTGAACTGTTGTCACAGTCACAGAGCAGTGCCTGCTTGAATAGAAAAAATAGTGGTTGCTAAATTAGAAACTCAGCTTCATCATTCATCTCATTAAACCATCCCCACATAGCTGGGAAGCTCACTGCATGGGGCAGCAGCTGCACGGTGCTTCCTTTCTGCTCCCTGCAGAAGTTTCTGGCTCCCTCCTCCCACCCTACACAGCCACCACATGCCCACACAGCGCCTGTCAGCAAGCTGGATGTTTCTATTGCAGGGCAACACTGAGCAGGATAGGAAATGATGAGTCTCACCTTCATTGGCAAGGAAATTTCTACCTTCAGCTTTCTTCAAGGGACACATCCAGTAGCTTATTTGATGTATTTAAAAGCAATATGAAGACCACCCCACCCTTCTGCTCTCTTCCTAAGTAACTTGGAACAAACTAATGGAAAAGTGCTGTGAAACACCTGAAAAAAAATACTGTGTTGAAAAGCAAGTCTTGTTCCCCAGTAAGCTTTCTTTGTTCAGCTTTGTTCATTGGGCAGTGCTTTGATGCTGCTGCTTTTGTTTATTGTCACCCATAACCATGGCGCCTTGATTCTGATCAGGAAATAAGCAGCAAAATAAGTAATGGAAATCATAAGCCTGTTTTTGTTTTTGGTCACAGGAAGGATTAAATGAAGAGAAAGGAGAGAAATGTGCACAGAAAGCTGTCTAAGCAGAATGCTTTGCTCTAGGTGTTGGCTTCAGGGTTTTGGTTTTGTCAGCTAGTCCTATAGAGGAAAGTTTTCTTGTTCTGGAGCTGCAGTTACCTGATGCCTCCCCCAGGAGGATATTTATGAGCATTTCATTGCTGTTGACTCTCTTAGGTGGTTATTAATATCCAGACTTGTATTCTTTAGATTGCACTGCTTGACAGACTGGGTGAGAGTATCCTAACAGGAACGTGTGTGTCACTGATTGACCAGGTTTTCCATTATTAATAGTCCTGCAGTGCTAGATTGGTTCCATAGTTTCTATTCATGCTTTACTAAATGAAGGACTTGGCATTCTTAGGGATGAGAAAACCATCACAAACCATAGCAGGCAGCTGGAAGTGGAGCTCTCCTGTGATTGCCTTTGGATGCAATTGCTTGGTCGTGCTGCCTGCCTTGCCAGGCTGGGTGTGTGATGTTTAAAATACCACAGTTGCTCAAACAAAGCAGCCCGACTCGTATCGTGGTTCTAAAATCAATGCAATTGATGTGCTATTCTTATTTGAAAGCCATCTTTTAATATTTGCAAGCTTATGGGTTATTTGTTTCATAAAGCAAAGCTCGTGGTGTGACTGCACCCAGAAATAATTCTCAAAGAATATGGAGATAATCATGCTGTGATTAACCATTGCTTCCGACTCCGGCTTTCGAAGTTCTTACAAGTGGATTGTAATGATCTGGCAAGCTGCTAAGAAATGGAGAGACAGTGTTTGTGATCAGAACTGGGTGTCTGTATTCTTGACAGGCAGTTTATTTGGTTTGTACTAGAAGCATGGCGGTTCACCAGCCTCCTGTGTTTAGAGGTGGGCAGAAGTTGTTGATGTGCAGTCAGGAAAGACAGCCAGAAGTCAGCAGGTGTGCTGCACATCACTGGGGAAGGTGGGCCTTTTTGGTGGAGCATGACAGCGCTGAGGTAGAACCTCACTGGACTGATGGAGGCAGTGCTCTGAAAGGTCTCGTGCTACCCAAGCCTCATAGCAAACAGTGTAAGGAACTTCAGTGCTTTTGTAAAAGGTGATCTTTGAGTCACTGGTCAGGAGTTACAATCTTGCAGTGCAATGTTGTTTTTTCTTTTCTAGCAATGACAACGAAGAGGCAGTGAAAACAGATCTAACCAGCAAATCTCTTCTGTGCTAAGCCACAGAGCATTAAAGTCTTACCAGTACTGAAATCAGAAATAATAGGCCTGAAGATAATTAAAACATCGCTTAATTATTAAACAAAGTTTGTGCCAGTGGAAAGCTGGTTAGAACCAGGGTTGGAAATTCGTTAATCTTTTTTTATCCTTTAATTGCTCTGGAGCTCAGTGCCTGCATAGGAATGCAGGTAAATATGTCACTAATGATTTGTGTTTTGTGTTCGAGTGTAGCCATTTGTATGGTTCTTGGTGGGAAGGAGAAGGAAAGTTGCTGTTAGTCAGATTGTTCTCTGCTGATCTTTAAATTTGAATATGCACAATCCAGAAGTTTACAGTGTTCTGCAGAGTTCTGTGGTGTTCTCCTTTGATTGTGTAGTGTGTTGCTTTGAAGCCAGAGAGATGACCAGGAAACTCATCTTAATGTGTATGCTGAGTGCTGGGCTATCATCTATGCCCATCACTCTAATGGAACAAATATCTGCAGCATCTTTCTGCATCTTTCTTTCATAAAGAACGATGCTTCCATGGAACAATGATTGACTGTGTGTTAGTGGAGGAATAGATAAGAGAGAATCCTGCAACATAAACAAGGAAGAGCTCAAAGAAGCTGTCACTTCAGATAACTATAAGATGGGATGAAGGCAGGAGGTGCCCCTCAGCATAATGAATGCAATGCTTCACTGAGTCGTGTTCTTCTGATTTGTCTAAGCAGTGTCTCAGGCACCCAGCAGGGCTCTGTATATCCGCTGGGATGATCTGGGCATCCTGTTGTTGGACATTTTCAGCACAGCACTATTTTTGTTGTTCAGTTTGGTTCTGTTCTGCTGCGATGGGAGTGCTGGAGCAGCTGAATATTTTATCAAATGGAGCAGTATAACTCTAACAGCTGTTATCTTTGAAACATATGGTTAAAACTGTAAAGATGCTTTTTCTAATACTTGGCTTGTGGGTGGGGATTTTCAGTATTGTGCTGTAGGAATGGTACACAGGAAGTATTCCCAGGTTTAACCATCTGCTTTTACATCCCCTCAAGCTGTCAGCACTTCGTTATCCGAGAGCACTGACATCACTGCCCAAAGGATTTCAATGCTTTTTCTCTTTACTGTAACCCCTGTGTTGCATACTGTATAGCCAGTGCCTGTGTCTCTCTAAATTGTTTGGTTCTTTTTTTTCTTTTTTTGTAATAACACTTTCAGGTTTTCTCTGCAATTTATACAGGTGAATACCTGTCCTTGAATACCTATCTGTGAAAGCAGGAGGTTGTATGTGGCCATCTCTTTCCTTGTGTTCCCCTCGATATCTGCTATTTCTGGTTTTAGGGAAGGAACTGATCATGCAGCAAGCTTAGGCTTTGATGTAGGGCAGCAAAAAAAGAAAGGCTTTCTTTCTAAAGGGAAGATACGTGGCAAGTAGCTATGAGAAGAGAGTTTGACAGGAGACGTAAACTTTCAGATCAAATGGTTAAATTGTAGAATAATGGCATCACCCGTAAGTAGTGCAGCAGTGAGCTTATCACATCTGATGTGAGACACTGCTGTGGTTTGAAGTCAGCTTTAATAAATGTCAGAGGTCTGAGGTGCTCCTCGTCATTGTTTTTCACTTTCTCTATGTAACAGCTCCTTGAGGACTGTGTCAGAGCCCAGTTCTGCTGAAACAGCACTATTGTAGTGATAGCTTTGGGAACCTGTGTTGCAGTTTAATTTCTACAACAAATTATTAGATCATTATTACCCATTGTCGTAAAATAGGCAAAGTCATGCTTCTCTGGCTGTTCTGTAGCTTATTTTTCTTATTCTTACTTGTAATTTCTAAGTGAATAGATGCTGTTGGTAACATTAATACTGGTTCATTATGTACTTTGCAGTTTTGATATTTATTGGAAGAAAGATGACTTCAATTCTGGTAATGCTAATGCTCACCCTTTTCTTTCTTATTAGAATGATCAGTCAACTGGAGATATAAAAGTCATTGGTGGGGATGACCTCTCAACCTTGACTGGAAAGGTATGACTCTTTAAGTGTTTACATGAACTGAAAAGGAAACAACCCCCCAAAACCCAGATAACTGTGTGCTTTCTTGACTTGTAGGGCTAACAGAGTTTTTTTAAGAGACAATGGGTATGTTTCATTTTAAGTATTCACCGCTGTAACTTAGTGACATGCATAAGCTCCACCAGAGCCATTGGTTTAGTTTTAACTTAAAAGTAAGTGTATATATATTCAGTGTCTTCAGTATGAGCCATATTCAGGGTATTTGTTTCTCTGTGGTCCCTGAGAAGAGCAGTCCTGTCAGGGTTGTTGTCTTCAAGCTACCTTTAAAAGAGTGTGGCATTATTTATTTACTGTGCTGATGTTTCAGTGTGGTAGTGAAGGGAGCTCACTTAGGCAGGTAACTTGCTGGGTTAGGAGCTGAGGGTCCTGTTACAGGTAACAAAGAGAGAGGGAAATGCAGAGAATGTAAACTAGGAGTCTGCTTTTCTTCAGTGGCTGTACAGAGGTCATTGAGCTGGGTATCCGTGAGCAAAACACCACTGCCTCCTGTTCATTGCTTTCCCCTTTTGATTACATATAAACAGTCTTTAAAAAATTGTGATGCATTTCAGTGTAAAGGCTGTAGGTGTGACAAAACTGCTTGGCTTTATAGCACAACACTCTTTGCATTGTGAGAATTTAAAGATCACTTTGGACCTAGCATGAGATACTGAGGCTGATTGTCACTACAGCATCAGAAATGTGAGCTAAATAGGATCCACTGTTACACGGCCAGACATGCATAAATCATGGTACAAATATTTAACTGCACTAAAAATGAAATTAATAAGTTATAGGATATATTAGAAATTGTGTATTCTTTAAATACTAATGGATTCTTCTTATCTTTTTTTTTCTTTCCAACAGAATGTTTTAATTGTAGAAGTAAGTATTGTGTTTCACTTCAGAGTTTTCTGTGATTCTGTCAGTTCTTACTTGTTATGATTTATTATTACTTTTAAAATTCTTATTAAAAAGTGACCTAAGCAAAGTGAAATTAAGCATGTCAGTGTTTTGGCAAGCTAGGAAGTTAAACTGAAGTGCAGAAAGAAGTTCCTGGTAGGAATATCCTAAAAGAGTGAAAAACAAAGACAAGCCCAGCCCTATGTATGATTTGTTTAGAGAATACAGACATGGAGAATGCTGATTCCTAATCAGCATTTTGCTGTTGCTAATTCCCATATCTCTGTCTTGCTGCTGTTCTTGGGATGATACTGGCAACGCTATCTATAGCTGATTGTGATTTCCTGGTAGGTGCTGTTGCTTAGTTCTGGCTTTCACATCTCTTTGTTGTTTGACAGCGTTGCTTATGTTCAGAGGATGCTCTTGAATAAGATGGCTGATTTGAGGATGGGGAAGCAGAAGCACTAGACAGGAAAAGTGAATGTGCAGTGTAACAGTGTCTTTAGGCTCCAAGTAACGGTAGTGTCTTTGTTGGTAAGCACAGGAACAGCAGTGACAACCAGTTCAGCAACCAAAGAGAAAGCTCTTTCCTTCTGTCATATTATCCCACAGGAAGCATGTTCAGTTTTAAAACCAAACTAGTATGTATACAGCAGTCATCTGTGTGATCAGTGGTCTCCTTTGAAGAGTATTTTGCTTCAGATAGGCAGATGCATTTAATTGTGTATCTGCTCCATTTCAGATGAATGTATGCCTTTAAAGTGCCAGGCAGCTAAGTGGGTTAGTTTCTCATCTGTTCAGTGCATCACCTCTCCACTGACATCTCATGCATTGTCAAATACAAGCCCTTTGACCAACCACCATTGTTGCAGTTAAACAGTAACTTCTGCACAGAGCACTAAGATGTTCTATAGAGCATCCCTTTGATGTGCAGAAAAACCCCATGAAAGGGAGATATGCCTCCAAAAAACAGATAATGAAACAATACAAAATCACTAAAACTTTTATTTTGACTTGAGAGCACAGAAGTGGCTGCTTTTGTTTATACATCAGCTTTTATCCATGTATGTCTGTCTTTTTCTTGAGTTGATAACCATGAATAAAAGCCTTAGGTGTTAAAGGTGGTATAGCTGACAGGTGCTGTGTTGACATTGATGTGTTTATTGATGTATTTTAATTGAGAGCCTTGAGAAAATCAGAAATCAGGAGATGATAAAATAGGCATTGCTATTTCTGTGTTATCTGCCTCTTCACTTCAAATAAACATCCAAGTTCCAGCCAGGGTAAGGACTGTCCCTCTGGACATCTTGTGATGTGTCAGTCCAAACAGAATATCCATTTCTGCTGCTTCAGTTTTGAGTCATATACTATTTTTTCTGTTTATATATGTAGTAAGTGGGATTAAAGTAATGCATCAAACTTCAGTTCAGTGTATCTAAATAGAAACTATCAAACTGCACCCTGATATTACCAGTACAGTTTCTTTCTTTATTTTTAAAATCTGTAATGTAAATTGCACTCCTTTTTTTTTTTTTTTTTTCAAATACATTAATGAGTTGTGACTGTTTTCCCTTCTTATGCTCCTTTTCTTTCTGTTGTATACAAGTGTCTCTCAGCTCAGCTGCAAGATGGATGCTATGTTTATAGTGTGAGAATTAGACATTGTTTGTCTGATTGCTGCAAGGAACACGAGCCATAAAATCTGCCAGAGGCGCCAGGAAGGTCATAGTTCATGCTTTTGAAGTAGTAGTTATCCATAAGAATTAAGAACCATTGTTAGCTACTGTGATCTCTTTCCTGAGCGTAGTGGCTTAAGCACGACGTGGTTTTCCGTATCCCTTGTACCGGATGGTGAACAATATTATTACAGCATGTTTTCGTGTTATTGCAGATGAGCAATTTCTGCATTACAAACTTGAAGTGCTGCTTTGACAGGTTTCATATTCTCTCTCACACGGCATTTTTATTTTCAGGATATCATTGATACTGGGAAAACAATGAAAACGTTGCTGTCTCTACTAAAGCAGTACAATCCAAAGATGGTGAAAGTGGCCAGGTAAGCTTTTATTTGTGGTTATTTGTGCTGTATTTCACCTTCAGAGTAACACACGGTGTAAAAAAAGGTAATGTAGAATACAATCCCATAAAAGACAAACAGGAAGGAACACTTCTTCAGAAGTTGTATGCGATGTGCTTGGAGTTCAGTGTATAAATTACACTTTGCTTGTTGTGATAAGGCAGAAACGCCGTTCTCTCCAATCCTATTGCTTAAAACCCTTCTGTCTCAGGGAGGGATAGCTTGTGCATGTCTGGTACATGTATTGCTCCTTGATGGCTGGGGATGGGGGGTTTGACTGATGTCTAACTTGGGTTTAGAATGGAAGAACTAAAATTTTTGAGCTTAAAGAAATTACCTTCTTAACGATGGCAGAAGTATTTTCAACATGAATAGAGTTCATAAATACAGATTTTTAATGGAGATTAGGATTTAAAAAAATAACAGTGGTTATCTTAATATGTCATTGTCTTATCTGAGCATATTTCTGTTTGCACTGTTTGCAATTTCAGTATACTTCAGTAGTGTATCAGTGCAATGGAGACCTTTTTTTGGTCTGGTGCCTGTAATTGTAGAATTAAATTAGTTTGCATGCTAACATTACTGTTTGTGTAGGGTGTGTAGTGTAGCTGAGCTTTAGAGGTCACTCTGTGAGAGTCACCCAGCCATATGCTCTTCCAGGCTTTTCTACTTAGTTGCATCTTTAATCAATTAGTTTTGAAACATTTTCTAATTAAATAATTTAAATTTAATAAGGAATGTTGTGGATAATAATAACAGCTAATATCAGCATTCCTCCTACAGCTTTTTAAATCACATCTTTTGTACTCCTATGCTACGGTTGTGTATTTTGCAATAAAAGCATAATGAGTGCTGGGGATTAGAGATAAACCAGAGCTGTGTGTAATATCTAATCAGTTGTGTTGCCATAACAATGTCGAAGCAGTTGTTAGATGTACTAGAATAGCTCTTCATGCTGATAATCCAGGGGTGACCTGCTGAAGGTGAGCTTTTTCTTCCTGGCCTGGTTAAATGCACCAAATTTGAAGCAATTGTTGCTGCACAGTACCTTAACACTGCAGTCAGTATACATCATGAGTATGAAACAGTGTGAGCCAAGCCCAGTTTCGTGTTGTTTAAACCTGTTGAAGTAGACTGGGTCTTCAAAGGCTGAGCATGATTACACTGGGTAGTCTCAAGTGTCGTGTTCTTAGTTGGTTCACTTGCCTTTCTTTTCTTGTTTTCTTTCTCTCTGACAATTAATCAATTGTAGCAGGGAAATGTGAATTAATGCTAACACTAACTGGGGGTTTGTTTGATCAGGGCCTACACAATACTCAAAAATTAAGCCTCGAGTAAAAGTTTCAGAAACAAAATGTCTAAAATTGAAATCATAGACATGACGAATGAAGTCTCACCTTCAGAGGTGATCCAGGAAGGGATGAGATTTGCAAATACAGAGTTATGTTGCTCTGTCTCTGCATTTGGCCATCACCCACCTTTTCCTTTCCTCCCAAAGTCTCTCTCACTCTCTGATGCAAACAAATGTCAGGATGGTGGAGTTGTCTTCTAAAAGGTAGATGTGCTCAACTGAATAAAGAGCAAGTCAAACTGAACCAGCAAGGCATCTCCATCTGCTGCAGTACCCCCAGCTCTGTATCTTCCTGTTTCTTATACCTCTGACGTTTAATTCTGGGAAAGTGGAACTGGTTTGTATCAGCTGAGCATCAAAACCTGCTAACCTTTTCTTTATAGGGGCAATTAGTATTAGCAGTGAAAAACAATTGAGGACACGTTGTGCAATTGAGGTTGTATTAAACCAACTGATTGTGCTTCATAATGCTGATAATCCAGCTGGTTTGGCTCGATCCCAACCTCAGCTTGCACCTGAAATTTCTTAACACACAGCCTCACGAAGTCACTTTTGGCAACAAAAATCCATATAGATTAAGATCTCCCAGCCTCATTCTTGCAGACTTTGTAGTTATCCTTTAGGCTGTAAACCTTTTGTGATTCTACAAAGTTTTGAGTTTATCATTGAGATCAGCTGCACCTGCAAATGAAAAATGTTTAAAATCTTTATGGTTGTGCTTTCAGTTACACACGTTGAGGCTCACTGAAGTGAAATCCAGCCTAACTTCATGACAATTTCATGTAGTTCTACATGATGCATTGCCATGTTTCAATTTTACTTTGATTTTATTTGACAGTTTGTTGGTCAAAAGAACTCCTCGAAGTGTGGGATATCGGCCAGACTGTAAGTATCTCTCTGACCACCACTGTTCATTTTTAAAGATATGTTGTGTACTCTTTGGCCAAAGTCCATGGGTATTCCAGATAGTTTTCATGAATGGTTTTTGACTGATTTTAAAAGCAAAGAACAAAACAAAACAACAACAAAAAAGCAACAACCTGAGTATAAATATTTGCAATTAGTTTAGTATATGAAATGAAGACTTAGATTTCTATTTTGGTCCATGTGAATCCCTTTTCATTTGGAAATTGTCCATGCTTAGAAGTAGTCAAGACTTTGGTCAGCAAAACCTGCTGGACTCACATTTGGCACTTTGAGGAGTGTTTCAGGTGCCTAAATGTAGCCACCCAGTGCCATTTGAACATCCCCAGCAACTTAAGGAAGCTCCTTAGGGAGGAATGTGTATTTTATCCCCATTCCTGAGGCCAAATTCTTGTTAATGTGGATTGTGCACTTTCACAATGGAAGTGGAGTGAATTCAGCCACAGAATCACATCCTCTTCCTTCTCCTTTCCAAGGCTGTACAGTACTCATGGAAGCATCTCAACACCTTGGAAGCCTCATTCACATGTTCCTTAGGTTGTCTTACAGGCTGTGCAGTTGGATGATGCTGCCCAACTGTCCAAGGGCTGTCTTGCTAGAGCCATGCCCGTTATGCATTAGGAATCAATAAATAAACCTATTTGTTTTAGTTGAATTCAATCAACAAGAAATGTCAGAAGTTTAAAATAACGTGAGTATTAAGCTGAGGATACTTGAGTGGAAGGAATAAAATGTTAAGCAGCTTATGTGTTGATAAAATTCCAAATTGTGTGCATTAAAAGGTCTAGTGAACTCGAGGAAATTCCTTTCTAACAGACTGGTGACTTATGTTCTTTTTTAGTTGTTGGATTTGAAGTGCCAGACAAATTTGTTGTAGGATACGCCCTCGATTACAATGAATACTTCAGAGATTTGAACGTAAGTAATTTTTCCCATATGTTTTTGTCCATTTAAAACTAGGGAGGAGGAAGGAAGGGAAGTCTCCTTACATTGCTCTCCCTCCTCTGTGTAAATCACAGCTCGTGTGCAAGGTTACTCCATCAGTGATGCAGTGATGAGGGCAAACCTTAGAGCAGCTCAGCAGTGTTATGGAGCTCTGATAGAACTAACATTTATTTTGCTTCACACAGAACAGAGGTTATGTGTCTCCTGTGCGACGGTGTGGCAGTTTGTGTGTAGTTTCTTATCATACCAGATATCTACATTAAATTTGCTTAGTTATGCAAAAATTAAAGAGCAGAGACCTTGAAAGCCTTTTTATACTAAAACACAAGTTCTTCATGCTGGGGTCTTATACGCCCTTATAATGGACGTTGGGGGGGAAAGGAAGGAGAAGGAAGGCAACACTGAGGTTTGTAGCCAAAAAAAGGCTGTGGTTTTTCTGCACAAACAGTATCAGAACACTCTTCAGGGCTGACACTTGTATGGCATGCTTTCATTTATTTCAGAAGAGCAGTATTGATTCTGTGCCTGAACATCAGTTTCTTACATTTCTAACTGGAGGTTTCAATGTTTTGTTTCAGCATATCTGTGTGATCAGTGAGACGGGGAAGCAGAAGTACAAAGCATGAAAACACAGTTGAAGTGCTACGACTACAAAGCTTTGAAATGTTTTGTTTACTGAGTCCTATCTCTCACAGGCTTCAACTCTGGTACACCAGCTGAAATTGTAGAACACCCCAGCCCCATCGTCATATGCTTACTATAACTTATTGCATGTACAATATAAGAATCTCGTCTTGTTCATTTATATTATAGAAATGTAAACAACTAGTGCAATTCTGCACTCCTTATTTTGATTTGCACTATGACTCTACCGACTATTGCTGCCCCTGGTTGGGTTGTGCTGTTTGTGAGCTCCAGAGTCTAACTCTTGCAGTGGTAAATTGCTTAAACCTCATCAACCCAGAACTGAAATAGTTCGAGTACTGTAAATGTAAAACATTTTATGATAGGGAAGTCTATTAGTAATATTTTTTAAAAACTGTAATTTAAGTTTTATATTTTAATTCACAAATGTGATTGTGATTAAAGGATAGTTGCACCTTTGGGTGTTATGAAACATGAGAAGCAGCCAGTTACAGTATCTGTAATCTCCAGGGAGCCACTGACACCTCCTGGAGTTGCCTTATTGCTGTAAAAAGGAGTCTGGGTAAAAAATGTCTTTTTTTTTCTTTTTTTTGAGATGGAATGACAAAACAGAATGTTTGAAGTCTAGTTTTAGTTGAGCTGCCTGTTTCTTTCAGATTTTTTTTTTCTTTAAAAATATCCATCAGACAGTGAAATTGCCTTTTAAACTTAAACAGTTTTAATATATTTGTGGGGAAAAAAAAAGTATTGTAATGTTTACTTTATAAGAACTACAAAGCAAAGTACTTTAAATAAAGGCTGTCTCTTTAAAATACGCCCCATACATCTATGCCACTCACTGTGTATATTGAAGTACTCTCGAGATTCTCTTCTCAGCAACATATTTCATTAGTGCTTCTGGCAGTGAAGGCAGGCTCCACGTTTGTTACCTCTGTAGAGCTTTCTGTCAATACAGTGCTGTCTATGGGAGATGATGAAGGCCTGAGGGAAAGCTTTAGGAAGACTGGCACATGCTATAACCAAACTGGATTTCAGAGAGAACATTCTGAGTGCTGTCCCTTCTCCTGTTTTGGCAATAGTGAAGAGTGACGAATATTCCTTCATTAAACACATACCTGCAGGGAGAGAAAACCCAGCCAATTTGTAAGTAATTGTTTCATTTTATTCACATCTTGTTTGTGTTGTAAGGCTAACCATGGCAGTGCACACCTTTACTTCTGCTGTGCTGCTCTGTCGCTTGCTTATGCAGCTGGTGTGCTTGCACATGGACTTTCACTGGGTGCTGGGATTTAGTGCTGGCAGTGCTTGGTACGCAATGAAGCATTTGCCAGTCTGTTCTGCAAGGTGTTTTCTGGTTTTTGAGTAGTAGTTTTTACATTCCAAGCACCTTGCAGCATTGTCTGCCCTTGGTGTGTTCACTTGCAACTGTGGCACTTAATGGCAGCCCTAAAATGTGAGTAACTTACACCATGTAATTGTGTAATGATCAGTGTGCTGGAGATATAGTTTCAAATCAGAATTCTCAGTAAGAAAAATAACACTGCTCACGATTGTAATTTACTTTTGTTCACGTTAGGGTTTTTCTAATTGCACTATATAGCCTGATTCCATTTCTGAATGTGTGTGTGTGTATGGAGAACTGTGCTGTGCTCAGGACTCCTTTCAGCAGGTGGTGCTTGGCTGAGGAGAGGAAGCACAAAAAGCAACACAGAAAACTGCAAACCCACTTTAGAATTATGACATCCATTTGAGTTTTCATTGGGTATGGACGGATTGAAGGTCTCACTACAGAAAGCAACGCTCTCTCCAACCTCTGAATAGTTTCTGCATCACTGTGTTCTGGAATAGATTGATGGCATTTGGATATTAAACTCGAAAGGGGGCATAAAAGTACCTATTTATACGTGAAGCAGTGAGATTTGCTAATATCTTTTAGGACTAAACCCTGACACAAGTTTGCTCTGCAATGTTTTCCTGCATTGGTGTAGGATGGTTATTCAAATGCTGTGATGTGAGACAGGCAGGAGAGGATGGGTGTCACAACAAGGGGTTTGTCTTCAGGAAGATGGTTGGAGCAGGGAAAGGGGGCTGGAGCCATGCAGCTTGAGGGGCTGGCATTGAAGAAGAGCAATTGTTAAAGTATTATGAAAGCACTGAAAAAATTTTGCTTTAAACTCACACTGATCTGAAGCACAGGTGCTCCAGGCTGAGCTTGGAGGTGTGATAGAAAGCTTGTATGATAATTGTGCTGGTGGTTCCTTTTGGGGAGTTGTTTTACATTAAAGAGAAGTCCTAGATTAGAAAATTCAAACAAGCAAGGGTCATTGCAGTCCTGAGTAGCAGCAGGAGCTGCTGTTGTACAGGGAATGGGGTGAGTGCTGCTGAGGGCAGTCATGGCTCAATGCACCCCTACCTCTACCTGTCCCCCTCCCTATGCATTCTGCAGGCAAGAAGCAGTCCCATGCCACCTCCATGTGCCCCTGTGCCTTTGTGGTCTGCAACACAGCAAGTCTGGTTTCAGACACTCTGCCTCTGCTCGTAAAATGGTGACGATGCAAAATTTTGAAAGCATTAAAAAAACACCTGATATAGAATTTACAAAATTAAGTATAGAAATGCAGAAGTGCTCACCTTCTGTGCTGCTGTGCAACGGCTGAGCCATAAAGCAGTGAGGGCACATTTCCCCACCACCCTCCTGCCCCACAACTAGACTGGGATTCAGTAATCGCAGGAAACAGTTGAAAAACTACTGCTGTGGGCCGGCCAGCCAGCCACCAGAACCCCCAGCACAGCATAGAACTGGGGCTGCCAGTGATGCACCGTTACCTGCAGGACACATGGACTCATTGCTGCTGCAGAGGATGGATGTCCCCTGATGTCCCAGTAGTGCAGTGCAGCCCCAAGGGGAGCAGCCTTCAGCCCACAGGTGTCCCTTTTCTGCCACCAGAACTGGGTAGTTCAGAGTGGGAGATAGAGCACTTTCTTCTTACCCTACCTCCAGCTCCCCCCACCTCCCCAGAGCCTCATTTCCCACCCAGGATGCTGGGGAAGGGCTTGGTCTCCCCCTGCCAGACTCCTGACCCCATTAATGACACCAGGCCCTCGTTACTCACTGTGATTTATTGGTGCTGGAGACAGGTTCCCCCCTCCCACCCCCTGCAGCACAGAACCCCCCCCAGGTGCCAGGGACTGATTTCCAGCCACACTAAAGCAGCAATGCAATACTGGAGAGCAACAGGCGATCCCCCACTCCAGTATTTACGTGCTGCTAGAGCACTGCTGACAGCTCTCCAGCCCTGTGCATCTCCCCACAGCCTCCAGCCCCCCCCCCATATCCACCCCCCAAATCAGAGGGGGCTGGGAAAAGGCTGAACGTGGAGCAATATTGCTCTGGAGGCACTGCTCCACCCGGGATGGACTCAAAGAGCACAGGAGGAACAGAGCTCTTCCTGCACAGCCACCCCACAGACAGGTGTACCTGCACATCCCCGTGCACCTGAGCTAAGGGCTATGGGGACACGTCAGCCTCCACCCCTATGATAACCAGAAGCTCACTTTCTTGTCTTATCCTTGAGGTAATGAGGCAGCCCAGAATGGTCTGTATCTCCTTGTCCCTACAAACCATGATGTGCTGCTACATCTCCTCAAAGCCCACTGAATGTTGGCATTCCAAATGGTATTTTGGTTATTATTGTTATTATTATTATTATTATTTGTAAATCATGACATAAGGCACTGACGAACACTCTACATGAAGACATGAACATGCATGCATTACCACCTCAGGACTTTTGTGTTGGTTTTTTTTTTTTTTTTGCCTTCCAGGTGCTATCAACCTGCAACTACAAAGAACAAGCAGTTACACAGTGCAAACAGACAGAAATACCCCACTCCCCAAACCCATGGTGCTGGAACAAGGCACAGCTGCACCTCTAGAACCTGTGGGGGAATGATCCACTGTCTTTCTTTCTTCCCTTAGGGGCTGCAGTGCATCAGCTGTTGGCCAGGAATCACAGTGCCAGCAGCTGAATGCACAGCTTAACAGGGCAAACCTGCTTGTGTGTCCTTAAACTGCGGGAGGGAAAGAAAGGAGGGAGGAAGAAAGGGAAAGAAAGGAGGGAGGAAGAAAGGGAAAGAAAGGAGGGAGGAAGAAAGGGAAAGAAAGGAGGGAGAAGATCTTTTTTCCTAGAGCTAACATGACGCTCATGTACTTTTGGAATGGACAAACCATCTGCAACCAGAAAATAAAGGCACTCTGACCCTCCATCAGTCACTGTGCACAACAGAGACTGCAGCACAGAGCACCCAGACCTATGCAGAGAGCCTGGACTTTTGTGTTTCCTCTCGACTTTTTTTTCCCCAGTTATGTGACAACTTCCTTCAATTCATTTTCCCAAAAAGCAACGTCACAGCAGTGCAGAACGACGGCAGCAGCCAGGCCTGTCCCACAGGGAGCTCAGCCCACACCAGACCCTCTGCTGCTCTGCCCCTTTAGCAAACTGAAGAACGGGATTTCAAGAGCCCTCCTGGCCCGTGCCAGCCTATTGGAAACAGCCAATTAAAAAGTTGAAAAAAAAAAAAAAAGTAGTATTTTTTCAACGCTTCAGTGTCCTCTGTGCTGATGGCAGCAGCTGCAGCTCTGCAAAGTACAACTGCCGTGCTGCAAAGAGCCAACAGCCAAAGGGAAACCCACCCAGGATGCAGCAGAGCAGCCCCACAGTGCTTCAGCCCTGCTTCTGCAACAGCACTGCGAAGGGCTGCAGCTGGGGAGGGTCACTGCTTCCATCTCTTCAAGCAGCTCGAGAAAACAGAATAAAATTCGTTAAAAAAGCAATAGCAAACCAGCTCAGTTGTAGCATCCACTTATATAAATATATTAAGTAATACAAAGTCCTGGTTGTAGCTGGACAAGGGGCAGGACACCGTTGCAAAGCTTTCAACACGTGCTCATCAAGCAGTTCGCAGAGAGCAGTGAGCAGCTGGAAATCTGGGATAGGTGGGGAAATACGTACCTGGGAGAGTGCTGTGTGCTTCTGATGGGAGAATGGCTCTGAGCACTGGAGCTGCAGGCTGTGCTTTACTGAGTGAGCTGCCTTACATTGAGGTGTGGGATGGGATGTGAGTGCTGCATGGCTGCGGGCTCTCAGCACTTACCTGCCCTCACCTGGCCGTGGGCTACAGCTCCTCCTGCCAGTGCCTCCAACCACACGGGAGCTGGAAAGCAACACAGAGAGCTGAGAAGGGTTTGGGACTTCAGTGACAATGGGTTGTGAGGGCACACAATTAAGGGAAAACACAGAGCTCCACCAAGACGCCATTTGCTGCACCAGCAGCCTTAAATATGGAGAGTATCCCCCCAGAATTTGCACTGCAGGACTGGAATCAGGGGATTTGCTCCATGCAGCACCTGTGGAGTGAATCCCCACATAATGGGAGGAGTGGAACGTGCACAAATGCATGAATGCAACGCAGCTCCTCCTTGTACAGCAACGCAGCCGTAGAGTAAAGCACAGCCCCAGCTCCCTGAGATAGAGCCGCCCTGAGATATGAAGGGGGGCTTTAAAACATCAACCAGAAATGAATAAATAAAGAGGGAAAAAAGAGAAAAGAAAGGGGAAAAAAAAAAAACGTGAAAGAGGAGAAGGAGAGGAAAATCCCCATAGAGGGGCAGTTGTGCACACTCGCCTTCCTCTACTCACACGCTGCAGCACTGAAATAAGTCAGCATTAAGCATTTCCTACATGGATTAAGCACAGCGAAGGGATAAAACACCACACCGACCCAACCCGGAGTTACCACAGCTCTCCCAGCCGAGCTGTCCGCGTTCCAAAGGCACAAACAACGAAAAAAATAAAATAGCGGGACACTCTGCACAAAGCCTGAACGACGCAGCAGCGAGAACTCACACGAGGGAAGGACACGAAGCCGGGGGGGGGGGGACCTCCGGGTGGGGCCGTAGGAATCCCCGCACCACGCTCCCCCCCCTCATCCCGTGCGACCGCTCCGCTGCGACTCCTGCGGTGTCCGCCAAGGCGGGCAGTTCTCATTTTCGCTCAGACCCCCCCCCACAGTTCCGATACGGTCCTACCGATGGATCTGCCGGCGGTGCACGAAGGAAAACCGAAGGAAAACCCC